TATATATATATATATATATATATATATATATATATATATATATATATATATATATATATATATGTTATTACGCTTACTCCCTAAACGGCCCTGCAGTACCCCAGGATATTACAATTGCCCGGGATTCAGCAGGACGAGCTCAGAAGACCAGCAGTTTCTCAGAACCGATGATGCACCTCGTTGTATTGACATAATAAGAAATTAGCTCCGTGATGAGAGTGGGAAGCGCATCCGCTATAGAATTCATGGGGACTGGAACCAATGCGTACCCGTGCCGCATTCTAGCCTAGAGAGGAGTGGTAAACTGAGATGTCCAGTGGAATACGAAGGCAGCACAATGATAACGACCCGCAGCATTAAAGGGGAGAATGATATGGGGGTATTGGTCAGGGTTATGTTGGTAATTCCGCCGGAGGATACATCTCCCAGATTGCCTTGGCGTTTTCCCTATGGCTGAGGCCCGGGCTCGTCCCGCCACCACTGGGGGGTGATCGCACCGCTCTCTGGCCAGGCCTGTACCCTTTCAACGTCTCCCTACTTCACTCGGGTAGGTGCCGTTCATCCTAATACACTCGTATGAAACGATTAGTTGACCCTTGTTGCTAGGATGCTTATGCTGGCCGTTAGTTACCTCCTATGTGTCCGGCCTAGCCGGCACTGATATTGCAGTACCAGGCACTACAGTGACCCCTTCCCACCAAATTATCAATATCTTCTCAGTGTAGCTCGTACTGCTTTTTATTCGTTGGAGGATGTTCATAGCTCAAGTTCAGTGGTCATCTTCTGCCACGAACCTGTCCCCTCGCTTTCATGTGAAGGGTTCGACTTTCGTCGCCACTGCTCAGCATGACCAGCCTCTTGTCGCACAAGGTGTAACAAAATGTTGCATAAGTTGTTAAACGAAAAATATGCGCAAGAGCTCAGAAGCTACAAGAACACCCGATCAGGCCAGGTACAACTGCCATGAGAGCCCCCCAGAATGCCTACGTCAAGTGGCCAGGTGACCGACAGCTCAAGTGGGTTTCTGAGGATCGCTTCTGCGAAGCAATCTGTCACGTGCATATTGGTGCCCTACGCGGCTAAATGGCAGCGTGGGCTGCGTTCTACGACTAAGCCATTGTTGCTCTGTCATGAGTAACGTTCCGCCTGCATCTTTTTATCCATTTGGTTTCCGGGGCTCCTCCTCTGCTTAGATCTGTGCTATTCCCTCTACTTATCGCTAGCTCGGCTCTGCAGCCGACAGCAGTTAGACATTCTCTGCGTTTTGAAGCTGGGGCCCACACTGTGGCTGATATACCTCCTGCCTTCCCGCTCACTGACGCTGCGCGGTGGCAGCGGCTCCATTTTCTGCTAGGTTGGGATCGCCGCTTTTACGGCGGCTTCCAACCCGATTGTACCTCATAGAACCATTGCACCTATCGCCATAACAAGAAGCTGGTCATGCTGAGTACAGGCGACGAAAGTCAAACTCTTCACATGAAAGTGAGGGGACAGATCCATGACAGAAGATGAACACTGTACTTCAGCTATGAACATCCTACAACGGATCAAATGCACTGCGGGATACATTGAGAAGATACTGATAATCTGGTGGGAAGGGGTCACTGTAGTGCCTGGTACTGCAATATCAGTGCCGGCTAGGCCGGACACATAGGAGGTAACTAACGGCCAGCATAAGCATCCTAGCAACAAGGGTCAACTAATCGTTTCATNCCGGACACATAGGAGGTAACTAACGGCCAGCATAAGCATCCTAGCAACAAGGGTCAACTAATCGTTTCATGCGAGTGTATTAGGATGAACGGCACCTACCCGAGTGAAGCAGGGAGACGTTGAAAGGGTACAGGCCTGGCCAGAGAGCGGAACGATCACTTCCCAGTGGTGCCGGGACGAGCCCGGGCCTCAGCCATAGGGAACACGCCAAGGCAATCTGGGAGATGTATTCTCCCGCCGAATTACCAACATAACCCTAAGCAATACCCCCATATCATTCTCCCCTTTAAAGCTGCGGGTCGATATCATTGTGCTGCCTTCGTATTCCCCTGGACATGTCCGTCTGACACTCCTCCCTACGCTAGGATGCGGCACGGGTACGCATTGATTCCAGTCGCCATGGCTTCTATAGCGGAAGCAGTTCCTACTCTCATCACGGAACTAATTTCTTATTGTTATGTCAATACAACGAGGTGCATCATCGGTTCTGAGGAAATGCTGGGTTTCTGAGCCTGCCCCGCTGAACCCCAAGGCATTCCAGTTGGGAGCCGTTCTCGAAAGGCTGATATGCGCATCTCCCAACATTTCTGCACTGGCGTTGCGAAACTGTGGAATATGCCAGAACGGAAAGTTATTAGAGTAAATTTCCTTCTTTCGTTTCACGGATTTTGAGCGAGCGGACCCAGGGTGTGGCAATCAACCATCGTAAGGTGGTTCTCGCCGCCAGCCCGCAGAAGCCCAAGACAACCCGACTATGGCCAGCCATCACCATTCGAGCGAGAGTTAATCACCGTGAGACGGGAGCAGCAAGGAAATGTGGAAAAGTGGAGATCTGTCCCCTGGGGTCACCAAATTCTCCGTGGATTCCAGCTCTTCGAACACGCAAGGGAAGGTCGCCGCCAGTCTTAGAGGTGGCACAATAGCTCAGATATTACATTCTCAGACGCGTCCACCCTGGCGTGATGGGCAATGTTATTCGAGACTGATTGTACTCCGCAGAGCACGGAATATGGTGCCGTATAGATGAGACGATATTGCCAAGTTCCCGGATTGTGGGGTAGTGTTGTGCCCCGCTTTAGGCCTGAAAGTTTCTCACCTGACTGTCAGTTCGTAGCGTGTGTAGCGTCTCCATTACGTATACAAGCGGTCCGCATGATTTATGGGGGGTCCCAGTATTGTATGACCTTTTGCTGGGTTTCGATTTGTTAGGAGCATATGAAGCAGCGTGGTGTTGTCAGCCAGCCAGAATTTCGTACGTGCGCCAGTGGTGGTTGGCACAGTTTGCCAATGGGTTGTGCTCGTGGGGACCTCACCTTGAATTAGTGGTCTAGAAATGGAAGCATGTGAGCCTCCAGTTGGGAGGGCCTATTATTACTCTGGTGCAGCAGGATTCAGGGATGGCGGAGGATGTTTCAGCTTCTCAACAACCTATGACGCGGTGCAAGCTCAGCCCTGCAGTGAAGAGATCAAGACACAGCAACACCGCCACCTTTTCCTTCTTTACGCTCATTCCCCTGCGGAAAATGCTTGCAGAGAAGGGGGCATATTCTAGTGCCTGGTACTGCAATATCAGTGCCGGCTAGGCCGGAGACATAGGAGGTAACTAACGGCCAGCATAAGCATCCTCGAAGCAAGGGTCAACTAATCGTTTCATACGAGTGTAGTAGGATGAGCAGCACCTATCCGAGTGATGTAGGGAGACCTTGAAAGGGGAACAGGCCCGGCCGGAGAGCTGTGCGATCACCCCCCAGTGGTGGCGGGACAAGCCCGGGCCGCAACGAGCTGGGAAACGCCAAGGCAGTCTGGGAGATGTATTCTCCCGCCGAATTACCAACGTAACCCTAAGCAATACCCGCATATCATTCTCCCCTTTAAGGTTGTTTGTCGTTATCAATGCGCTCCCTTCGTATTCCACTGGACATGTCAGTCTACCACTCCTCTCTAGGCTAGAGAGGCACGGGTACGCATTGATTCCAGCCGCCATGACTTCTATAGCGGAAGCAGTTCCTACTCTCATCACGGAACTAATTTCTTATTGTTATGTCAATACAACGAGGCGCATCATCGGTTCTAAGAAACTGCTGGGTTTCTGAGCCTGCCCCGCTGAACCCCAGAGCATCACAGTGGACCTCCCAGGAGCCACTCATCGCCGCAGCCCCTGTCGGCGGCGGCCGCATCAACCGACCCGGCCGCTGAAGACCGCTTTCTTTTTTACAATTTAACAATGCATGCAGACTTCCTGACAGAGAGGACATATCTTAGAGCCTTCATTCCTCAGGATTTGGCGAATTGCAAGTAGAACGAGCACCTGGCGGCCGACGCGCAACGTACCGTGGGCGCACGCTTTCTTCTTTCTGGCGCCCAAAGGAGACCTTACAACGCAAAACGAGGCTTAAACATTTATCAACGGAGCTCCTCTACTTTTGCATGCAAGAATTTCTTTTCCTAGCGCAACCCGTTTTATTCGTTGCCCTGAATGCGCCTTGAGCCCTGTGCAGCTCCGCTCCCCTTCCATCGCAGCAGTTCAGCATCTACTGTCGGCTGTTACCACGACACCCAAAGCTTCCGGTTAAGAAAGAGGAGTTTAAACGCCCAATTTCACGTAGAACCCATCAATACGCTGGACCCGTCCCCCTAACTAGGGGGCTCCTTCAGATTCGCTTACAGGTATCGCAGTGAAATGAGCATGAACCCATAATGACGGAATCGGCGAGCCCGCTGGGCAGCTTCCTTGGAAGTCTGGGCGGAGTGTTTACGGAGTTCACGTGGTCGCCGCTGGAGCTCTTCCTCTTAACTGCTTGTGTGGCCCTCACAGTATCGCAGGTGCTCGTGTCTTTCTGCATTCTTACATACTTCCCGACACCACTCTATCTAACATGGTGGCAGCTGCTGCAGCTGCTGATCAG